CTGCCTCCCGCGCAGCCGCCGGCTGGAAAGGAGACGCGCCCCGCGCTGTGCCCGGCGGAGCCGCCGTCAGTCCGGGAGCGAGGGACGCCTTGTGAAGAAAGTGCAATTATTTCTCTTATTGTTTTATTTTCTGCCGATAGCTGCTTCCTCCTCCTCTGACCAGGGATTCATCAGCAAGCGGTAAGGGTGAATGTGAGCTCGACCGCCCGACCTCGGAGGGCTCCCGTCCTTGCCAGTGTTCAGCGCTGTCTCCTGGCTTTGAACTGTCATGCCGGCAAGAGCACAAAGTCATCGTTCACGTCGACCATTGGCACATAGAACGAGGGTACCTCGTTCACACAGAGGGATTTGTGCCCCGCGGGGTCCAGCTCCTGCACCTTCAGCTGCCACTCCATCCTTTGCACTGCGTTCAGGGCAGCAGCTTCGTGTTGCTGTCGCATGAGCAGGCATGTCTGGATCGGGGGGGGGAAAAAACACCAAGGGGATATGAGGGGTGAGCAGGAGAGGGTGGGAAAGGCTCCTCCTGCCCATCCCACCTGGCAAAGGTTGAGGACCTGTGGCCATGGCGGCGGGCAGGGCAGCAAATGGAGCAAGGGATGGCATGTGCATCCACACAGGAGGGAAGCATGGAGTAGGGGCATCTGCTGAGCCCAATTCCAGCAGGAGGAGGGACAAACCCAAAAAGGCCTTGTGGAATGGCTTTAGAAGGCTGGTAAGCACTCATGAGCACTGACCCCGCTGGTGACAGCCTTGGAAGACAGTCTCCATTGGCCCCAACAGCACAAGAGCAGGGTGCTGCTCCCTTTGTGGGAACTGCCACCTCCCTCCCTGTCACCCACTGAAAGCAGCATTGTCCCTGCTCCCTACTGTGCTGGAGTTTCTCACCCCGAGCTCTGCAAATCATTGTGTGGGCTCCTGCCACCTTGAAGTCTGCCATAGGTTTGGAGCTCACTGCAGCATGTGCTGCTGGTGAAGAGCAGTCCCTGAGGGTTGCACTGACCGAGAAAGCTCCAGACCATATGGCACGAAGCAGAACAGCAGCCAGCCAGCCAACCCTGAGCAGAACATGTCTCCCTTCCCCCTTTTTGGAACCAGCAGAGAGAGGCTCCACGAGCCCACCTCAGCACACCTGCTCCCAGCAGATTTTTGGAAACCACAAAGGCAGCTCCCAGGCTCCAGCAACAGCCGGGACCCCTCTGGGGACCCCCTCCCTCCAGAGGCAGAGCCACAGCACCAGTGGCTGCCCACGTGCCTCTCACCTTCATCCGATCGTACTTGTCATCCACATCCTGCAACCAGGAAATGAACTGTCGCGCGTTGAAACGGTCTCTGACCGATTTGTTTTCATCTCCCTAAGCACAGACAACAAAAGGGAATTACACGCTAGGTATCTTTTGAATTTTAAGCATTTACGGGTCCAGCAGGCCATGTTCAAACCCCTCTCAGGGCACACACTCATCAGAAAAAAGGTGCCTGCAGGGAGGGAGAAGAAAGCGCTGCTCCCAGCTGCTTTTGAAGCCCTTTGCCAGGACTTCAGCCCCACAGATGCCCACACACCCACCTGCACACAGTCCCCATTTCTGTTTGCTTTGCAGAGGATCCACCTGTGCCAGCCCATCACAGCACCCACACCTCTGTCTCCATCAGCTCGTGCCCAAGATCATAACATCTTCACTGAGAAGCACCAGCTCTTGGCTGGGAAATGCCAAGGGATAAATCAAAGCTCCTGGATCAATACACCAGGTCACTACAAAGCCAGGATCCTGTCCCTGCACAGGATCCCTCCTGCAATGCAGCAGCTGCTTCCCCAGCCAGGCCAGAGGGAAGGGGGCTGCAGAGGGTGCTGGTGGGTGGCTCAGGACCAACACAGCTGCATGGACACCAGACACTATTCCCCCTTCCCTGGCACAGAGTGATGTGAAATCCAAGGAAGAAATGATGGCTTTTTGTGGGCTGGGAGTCAGAGTCTGGCTCCTCCAAAGCCACTATGCAGACACAAATCAATGCCATGGTTCCCTGCTCTTCCTCCAAGAGGAAGAGCTATCCCAGGGCACAGTAAAAGAAATCTTTCAACTGTGCAGGTGATCCTGACCAAGAAGAAAGGCAGAGGGTCCTGAGAAAGGTGCTGGGGTGGGCTCATGTGGGCTGTGCCACCACGAGTGACCAGCACCCCAGCATGGAGAGCACGACTAACTCCTGCCCACATCCCTTCACCCCCCAGAAAAGCACCGCCTGCCTTGAGGGCCTGCACAGCACCTCTCAGACACTTCCCCACTGCCCAGACAGGTGCTGACCTGATTTTCTAGAGGCATGTTGTAGACCTCGGAGTCCAGCAGCATGGTGCAGGCACTGAAGGGCACAGCCTGGTTGGCAATAGTCCGCGCTGCCCGACAATGGACTCTCAAGATCTCCTGCTCGCAGGAGACGATGAGCTTCTCCTGAGGAAGAGCGAAGGAAGCAGTGAAGTGTGGCAGCCTCAGTCCCTCCAGCAGAGGAAATTCCAGACCTCTTTCCCAGAAGTAATTTCTCCGGAGCGCTCCCTTCCCCGCTCTATGCTGTGCTGGAGCCGCAGTTTCCCCCGGACAGCTTCCTGCTGCTTGAAGAGCTCCTTGAGAGGCTCGGCGAGGGACGGAGGCGGCGCGATCTGCGGGCACAGCACAGCCCGGGTTAGAGCCCCTGATGGCTGGGACAGGAGCCCGCGGGGGAACCCTTGGAGAGGGAGGCAATGCCACCCCATGGGGCGCTGCACAGAGCTCGATGGAGGAGGAAATCTGGCAAAGGACAAGGTCCTGCCAGTGGTCAGACCATAGCCAGGGGTGAGACAACAGGGCAAGAAGGTGGCCAGTGCTGAGAGACGAGTTGGGCCTGCAGAGCCTGAGCATGAATCACCCCACATGCTGCAAGGGCAGTTTGTGAAAGTGCCTGAGCATGTCTGCAGAAAGGGATGATACTGCTGGAGAAAAGTTGCCATGAGCAGCTCGGGCTGTGAGCCTGTGTCCTGATCTGTCCCGTGCTTTCCTGGGGAGCAAGGTGCTCCTCAAGCACAGCCCAAGCTGCAGAACAGGGTTACTTCTTGGGATTAGTCTAGCAAGGGACAAGCTGATGTCAATGCAGAGGTGCTGGGGCAGAGGAGGCACGTATTAACTGACACCAACAGTAATTGGTGCTGATATGGTACTTAATCGTACTCAGATACAGTATTTAGGGACGTGGTCAAGTGGTGGCCTTGGCAGTGCTGGGTTAACAGTTGGATTTGATGATCTTACGGGTCTTTTCCAACCAAAACAATTAAATCATTCTATGTATGGGCTGCACTGCAACAGGAATACCCACAGACCAGGGTGTTTCACGCCACCTGCTGCACAGAGCAAAGCCTGATGTGGCTGGTCCTCCTCTAGGCTGGATCCCAGATTTACTGCCTGCAGCATCAAGCTCATGGATGTATTTGTATTAGCAAACCTGTGCATGCAGCACAGCAGTGAAATGCAAGACCCCATGGCCAAGGAGCAAGAGCTATTGGCAAGTCAAACCTCAGGGCTTGGAAAAGTGAAGGCAGGAGTTAAAAGCCATCTTTTTCCTGCAGTTTTCTAGGTTCATTATCCAATCACTACACTGCCTGTAAAAGCAGCTTCACCTTCCAGCCTCCAATCCAGTGGATTCATACAGACCTGCTCTAAAGCCTGAACAAACCTCAGGTTCCTAAGCACAAACCCAAGGTCTCACCTGTCAAAATACATCTCAGAGGCTGCCTTTATCACCCACTTACCAAGGCTTTGATTTCTCATCATGAGCATGACAGAGCATAGCTGGGGCACCAGGGGCATTGCACAGGGGGACAACCTGGCAGTGCTTGTAGCAGCAAGGGAGGGGACAGTCCCTACTGCTGCAGTTCAAAGAGAGAAGGTGACTCACCACTGGAATATGGAGCTTGCTTAGAGGCTTCCCATCCAACAGGTAGGAGCCTGTATAGGTGACATACTCAGCGTAGCACTGCGGAGCTTGGGGAGTGATGTAGCACAGGATTTTCCGCTTCTCTTCAATCTTTTTCCTGATCTGGAGGTACTCAAAGTAGGGGTTGGACCTGTCGCTGTGATAAGGTTCAATGTCGTCCAGTTTTATAGCATC